GCAAGAATTGCATTTCAAAAACCAACTGGATAGAGTCTCAAATATAAAAAGGACTTATTCAATTTCTTTTATTATCCTTACACTTTGCATTTACTCAGAAAAATAGAGTTAGAATTTGTGATTAAAATTAAACCTTCTCACAGATAAATTTTATTACTCTAAGTGGTCTATTTACTTATCAAGGAAAATTAAGAATTTAACATTTAATTATGGCCTAAGGAATATGCGGAGATAGATGCCAAAATAAGGTGGATTTGATTGCAAAAAAAAAATAGGGACAATAAATTGCTACAATCTCTGTATGTATTCTTCATTGTAATGTGATTTTTCCTCTTATCCCATTCAGAGAATAAGAGAGTCTATTTCTCAACTCCTTGGCTCTAGGCTCGGTTGTGTTATGCCCTTTCAATAGGACTATAGCAAATGTAATATAAGCAGAGACAGGTTGGTCCTTCCCTCTCCTGCTTCTTTGGGACTACCATGTAAAGACGTGCACTTGAAGATGAAAGGTCACGTGGAGGAACAAAAGGCTTTCCTAGCTGGTAACAAACACCCATTTCCAGATGTGTATGTGAAATAGTTTTGGGCCATGAGCCTCAGATGAGTTGCCAGATAGCTACCATAAACATATCCCAAGTGAAACCACAGATGAACCATGCAGGTGAGCCCAGCCCAAACTGCTAACCCACAGAATCATGAGCAAGTAAATCAGTTGTTGCTTAAAACCAGTTTTGGGATGATTTTTCTTTTCCGCACAAAAGTTAATTGATGCACAAAATCTATATTGGGTGGTCCTATTGAGGGATGCAGTGTTTACAATAAATCCCTGTTCTCTATGCACTTACCCATGAGCTAGCTAGAGTTAGTTTCTGTTATTTGTTCCCCCCAAATTCGTGGTGAGTAAAATTACCCTATGAAAAACTTTGCCCTCCAGACAAGGAACAAGCAGTTAGTGAGTGTGCTTGAAACCTGCTTGTGCCTAGGGTACCATGCTGGTCTTTGCAGAGGAGGAGAGACTGAAGAGAAGGTACTGCCCTTACTCTCAGGGAGTCTCAAATATGAGTCTACCTGCTCAATTTTCTGCCTACTTTCCCCCCTTGATTTGCAGACTTGACAACTGGAGAGAGTTCTGCCAACACAGGAGACTTGAAATGATTTCTAATTAACTTGAATTCTAGAATCATGTGTCATCTGGACTCTACCAGGAAAACCCACAAGCAGATCTGATTCTTCGCCACTTGCCTAAAGCCATTCAGATCCTTGAAAGATGAGGAACTAAGTCACGTCCCTTCCTAAAAATCCTACAGCCCAGAAGGGATGTACTTATTTTCCCTGTGACTATTAAGAAGGCTTACTTAATCTTTCTTGGTCTCTTTTTCAATTTAGTCTCTCAGGTAACACAAGGGAAAATATTTGTCTAGCTGATCTTTGCTTTCTTTTGAGTTTAAAAGAAACCCAAGGGTGGACTTTGTTAGAAGAACTCTATGAGGCCCTGATAATTGCACGGAAGGCACAGAGGAACAGAGCGGGGAGCCAGACATTCCCGTGCTAGTGTTTATACATAAGGTCCCCATGAAACCTCCTCATTCTACAGATGGGAAGAGATGTGGAGACATGAAAGATGATACATAAGGTCCCAAGTCTTGAACCAAGTCCAGGTCCTGCTTCTTCTATCACCTGGCTTCTTCTTTTTTTTTTTTTTTTGGTAATGGGTCTTCCTCGATGCTGTGCCACTGTGACACTGTGACTTATTTTATTTTTATTGATTTTAAAAAAAATAAATGACAGCAGAATGCATTGCAATTCTTATTACACTTATCATCTGGCTTCTTTTCCAAGAAGAAAGCGATGGCAGCTGAGTCAGGGAAGGAGGTGGATGGCAACATGCCACTTATTAAGAGTCATTAGAAGAGGCCCTGTGCAAGCCTTCACCAGTCACCAAGACAAATCTATTTCAGCACCTCCCAAAGAGCAAATTTACCTTAGGGCTGTTTCTGCAAGAAACATTTCCCAGAGAGAAGAGAGACAGAGAAAGAGAGAGAGATTGTGTAAATGTTCCACCAAAGAGGGATTCTTTGCAAATAAGAGTTGAGCTGCTTGCTTTACCACAGGATACCTTAGAACCAAAAGTTTCCTTTCTAGTGTCCCATGAATGACCAAAAAGAAAATAGAGTGTGGTCTTAGTTGGGGTATGCCCTCGCTGCTATAACAAAGAGACCCTAAAACACAGTGGCTAACATAGGATAGAAATTAATTTCTCTTTCCTACATTGGTTCAGAGATGAGCAATACAAGGCTGCAAATGGTTCTTCCATCCTCAGCACATGTCTTCCAAGATGGCACCAGCAGGAACCATTTCTCAGGCAGGAGAAGCTGGAATAATCCAGTGCAAAAAACTTTCCTTTTAAGGAGATAACTTGAAAACTACTACATCTCTGTGCCCTGTCCCATTGGCCAGAAATCAATAATATGGACTGCTATAGTTTGGATCTGGAATGTCCTCTAAAGGCCATGTATTAAAGAGTTATTCCCCAGAGTGACTCTATAAATGATAATGCAGAACTTTTAAGATATAGGGCCTACAAAGAAGTCTTGGGTCACTCACTGGGGGCCATGCCCTCAAATGGGATTGTGGGACCTTGGTCTAACCTTTCTCTCTTTCACTGCCCAGGCAGAAGCAAATGGCTCTGCTCTGCCATTTGCCCCTGTCACTGCCATCCAGAGGCCTAAAAACAATGCATCCACCTGATAAGAGACTGAAACTCTTCAAACCATGAGCCAAATTAACCTTTTCTCTTTATAAGTTTATGTCCTCAGGCATTTGTTACAGTCGCGGAAAGCTGATTAACACAGAGGCCCAACCAGATACAAGGGAAGCTAGGACAGGCAATCTCCAGGGAGGCGCCCAAGTGCCCAGCTGAAACTCAGTGTCACCAAAGTGACAAAGGGAGAGCAAACACCAAAGAGAATCAGTAATTTCTCATTGTCCCAATATTTTTACCCACAAAACTTACTTTATGTTTTGTCTGCCAGGATTAGTGCATCATGAGGTACTGACCGTATTAGGCACAGGATAGTTAGTCATGCAGTCAACCAGCAACACCCAAATCCCAGAGCCTCATAAGCTTAGATATTGTACGAGTCCAAGGGGAGACATTTCCCTCTTGCTCTGGGCACAAGGTTGATGGAGAAGCTGCCATCTAGAGCAAGGCTGACTTCTGGAGCAGAAGTAGAAAGCACGGGGCGAATCGTGCATCACCTCCAACCTCAAGGGAAGCTGAGCCGAGCTAATGGTGTTTCCCAGCCTTCATGTGCATCTTCCTCCAACCAGGCTTGGCTCTCAGAACCAAGGCAGCCCATCAGACAGATCTGCCCTGGTCCTCCCGTCAGGTGTCGGGGAATGGGCCTCCTTCCCTCATCGGCCACTGGCCACGTAGTACCAGTTGGACCTTCAGCATCAGCTCTAGATGACTGTGTAACAGGCAAGAAGGTTTCCAGTTTCTGCTCTTCCTGTATCTCCACTCAGGGTACCAGAGGCAGAGTCCATTTCTCTAGCTGTTGAATCTCGGCTGGGTTTATGACTTATTTTGACAAACGGAATGGACAGAAGTGACATAGTGCCAGTTCGGACTCTGGGCCTCGTGCCATCTTGCACCCTTCTTGGTTTTTCTCTCAGGATTCTGCCCTTACTTTTGTGAGCACTGTATGATGCTTGGATTCACCTGCTGGAGGATGTAGACCACATGGACCAGAAAGGAGCCATCCCAGATTATTTGGGATGAGATCATCCCAGACCAGCTAGTCCCCGCCAACCTCACCCCCAACTGCAGATGCCTGGATAAACCCAGGTGATCCGAGCCCCGTTGATGACACTCACAGCTATATAAATGGTTATTGCTTCATGTCACTGAGTTTAGGGTGGTAGAATCCATGCGATAGCTAACTTGCATAGTGATTTAAGCAGAAAAGGAATTTGCATCCCTTGAAAGACAAGGGCACTTAGAGGCCTGTGAAGTGCCTAGACCTGTGCTGGATAGATAGGCACTTCCCATGTGTTTATTTAATCTTAACCATCATCTAAGGAAAGTTGCCCCTATTATCCTACATTTTATAGACGAACAAATTGAGACACGGACAGACTAGGTAACCTGCCCAAGTCCCACTGTTATTAAGTGACAGGACTAGGCCACCTTGCACAATCAGGCTCCAGAGCACAGGCCAACAGCCATACACTCAATGGAGCAGTAGCCATTGCAGGATGCCCGGCCTTTGGCTGGAGACTGCAGTCCAGTCCACATCCATCCAAAGCCAGCACGTCCTCCAGGCCCCACCCCAGATGCAGTACCCCATCGGGCTGACAAGCATCAAGATGAAGAGGGACTAGGAAGGGCACAGCTATGTGGCACCTGGGTGCAAACTCTGGTCAAGAGGTTAAGTCTGGGAGGGTGACACCATAGCAGATAGGATGTTATATTCCTAGATATGATGTCATGGGTTAGTGGGACTGCCACACCTCACTGTCCCTCAGCGACCAGAGCTACAAGACTGAGCATCTCACCCAAATGATGTTGAAGGCTTCATCTAGGGTTGAGGAAATCAGATAGACACTCAGTAGTTTCAATTCAACAGAAATAGCTGAAGTCAAGAATATCAAGGCAGCCACTAACCGTGAAAGAAAACCAAATTACCCTAAAGTAGCTATAGGATGCTTTATCTTCCTTTTCTCTTGGTGATTTGCTTCCTAGGCTGCTTTTATTAAAAAACAAAGCAAAACAGAAAACTATCAGACCTCAGATTTCAGGATATTCCTAGGAAAAACAAGAAGGAAGAAAGTTTAATGTTTGTTTCTCCTTACAGATACTCTCCGTAATCAAAGCACTTCCGAACCCTCCAACCCACAAGGGGGGCAAAAGGGCTTGTGTCTGCAGTTCTACCCGGAGAGAGAATGTTGACTTTCTTCCTCTTTGTTTGGACATTTTCACTTCCTTTGCTGCCAGGCAGAGTGGCCAGCAGACTCCAGGGGAAGAGACTCTCCATCTAAGGCTGAGTCCCCCCAGAAGAGCTGGCACTGAGAGGTTCTCTTCAAGATGATTGGGCTGCTCCATCCAGCAGTGTTGAGGTGAGTGGCTCCTTTAAGAAAGTGCTCATGTCGCGGTGCCCAGAATATCTAACATGATTTTGTTCATGACTTGTGAATATGCCTTTTGCCACTGCCACCCCAAAGGGCGGCCAGTTCATTATCTCCTCGGCCATTTAAACTTCTGCACAGGAGTGTTCTGACTCAGGGGAAGACCAAGCCCAGCCTGCGAGGGCCGAGCTGCCCACTCCATGAGCAGGGTGCTCTCCTCAGTTCCTTAAGCCAACAACACCGCTCCTCCCTGAGCCCGTTCACCTCCCTGTGGGTTCTTCTAACTCCCCACTTTCCTTTACTGAGCCTCGCAGAGAAAAACATGGAATCCAAGACATCTATGGTACCCTGGGAGTATTTAAGGTTTCGGATTTTCTTTTTAATAAGTTCCTCCAGAAATACATCTGTAGGTTGGTGACAGTGATCAAGTTGGCTGTTTATTTGAAAGCAGGGTTCTTTCTGGAAGCACGATGCTGGGCTTTGTGAGAGAGAGAGAAGAGCCCCCAATATACCTACTATCCTCAATACCATAAGCTACTGGGAGCTAGAAATATCCACTCATATGCACTCATTCATTCATGCATGCCTACCTCACTATACAACTACTGAGCACCTACTGTATACTGGATATTTAGGAAACAATTCTAGTGGCTTCCAAGCTCTGAGCTTTAGCCACCAGAGCAGGGGTTAGAGGATGGGATTAGGGCACTAAGGATAAGAAAGGAATGATACAGTCACAAACCAGGCAAGGGTTAGCTATGCAAAGAGATCCAGAAAAAATGGACTATGGATGAATGCAAAATGATCCTGGGATACCCGAGCTGGACCAGGGAAGGGGAAGGTAAGTGGGAGGATCCATTCTTATATGGAATTCTAAGAATACCAGATTCACTTTAAATGTGCATCTCTTAAAATTGAAGCAGAGATATTTTAAGGGCCCAGAAAAAAAAGTTAAAAAATATTTTTGAAAGAATGAAAATAAAATCTAGGGAAAAAAATGAGACAGAATGGTGCACGACAGGAAAATTTGTGAGCAGTGAGCGAGGTGTGGGTTGACTGAATGTGACAAAACCAACCAGTAATTCTGTTGACTGTACTTTCACGGAACAAGAATTCATGAGACCCTAAAAGCTCCTGATGATGAGACACATCTGCTCTAGTTTGGGGTGATGCATATTTAAGCAAGAGGCAGCACCGTCAAAAATATCAGCTCAGGCCTGCTTGGTGCTGCTTCCAGCAAGCGAATCCATAATGCTTCATTTATCTGAAACTCAATTTTCCCCATCACTAACCTGAAGATGATGTTTTCCTTGCATGGTTGCTTCAAGGGGTAGAGACACTGTACACAGAGCACCTAGTCAGGTGCCCAGTGGGTAACAGAAACTGAGTCAGGGGTGGCTGTTGCTGGGCTATAATGCTGGTGGTTTCTGTAAACACTTGATCTCGTGGCTTGAGAACTAGGTTTTGGATCAAAGGGCCTTGACTCCTCCACTGTGTAACTGTGAGATATTGTTGAAGGCATTGAGGCTCATTTGTCCTGAATTTCTGCACATGTAAAAGTGACCATCATTTCCCATTCTATTTTTATGTCCAGGTTCATCTGGAATAGTGCTTAAATATAATTTATATGAAAATAGAATATCAGTCAGGCATGGTGGCACATGCCCGTAATCCCAACAGCTTGGGAGGCTGAGGTAGGAGGATCACAGTTTTGAAGCCAGCCTCAGAAACTTAGTGAGTCTCTAAGCAACCTAGTGAGACCCTGTTTCAAAATAAAAAATAAAAATAAAAAGGGCTGGGGATATGGCTCAGTGGTTAAGCACACTTGAGTTTAATATACATATACATATACATATACATATATATATATATACATATATAAAGTTGCTAGTAAGCCTTTAAAAATTAACAACGTAGGTTAAGATATAGACACTTTACAATATATAATGTATCACTGCAATAGAAATAGGGAGTAGAATTCTATTCATATTTTTAGAAGTTCCAAGAACAACCCCAGAATCTCAAATTGCACCCAAACTGTTTAATTAGCATAAGGGGAAAATTCCCAATTTTAAGGAAGAGGCAGCAAACTTAAAATAGTCACCATGGACTGTCCACCATGAGGTAACTCTAGAAAGTGTGAACAGCCATCTGTCCCAGGGAGTTTATCTGAGAATCGGGGCCCTGATGCTCAAGAGGAGCAGAGGCATTCCATCCCCCTAAGCTTGACAGAAGAGGAAACTGAGGCCCAGGGAAGCGAAGTTACCCCATCACAAGAATCCCCACGGCCAGCCCGCCACCTGCCTTCTGCCACTGGTGCGCTCATCTCTCTGCTACACTGTCAAGGTCAGTGTGGGCCCCAGGAGCTTTAAGACCATTGCAGTGGGTAAGCAGAAAGGAGTGGGTAGCAAATCTGAAGTGCAGTGCTAAGCAGGAGGATAAATCACCCCAGAAGGTTTCAGTGGAGAACCAGAGGACAGTGAGGGGCTAGAGACATCCTCTTGAAGTTCCTCCTCCTATCCTTCTCACAGATGACATCACGCAGCAAGCATTTAAACAACATAGATGGAACTAAATGTCTTGCCAGGTGGTCGCTGGCGATACATACAGACAGCTCCTGACTCACAAAGAAAGACGACAGAGGTCCCATACATACAAACAGCTGCCACCATCCGCCAGCCCCCACCACCCTGCAGCTGCCACGGGCTGTGTAAAAAAAATTTAAAAAGAAAGAATGGGATGAAAAAAAGAGAGAGAGAGAGAGAGAGAGAGAGAGAGAGAGAGAGAGAGAGAAAGGAAAACTTGGACCACTTGCAGATTCTGCACATTCAGAGGCAGAGAGAGGGAGGGGAGAAGCTGTGGAAACAAGACCTACAGAAGGGAACGGATGCCCAGGGCAGATTTTCAGCCATGGGTGATGTGGCAGCAGCCCCTACCCTTTGGCCCTGAAAATCTCCTTCCAAGAATGGTTGTCCTCCCCCATCCACACTGCCAGAAATTTTTTTTTTTTTATCAAGGTAGCATTCTTACTTCAAAGAATTTTTGGAGAAAGGAAGGCAGGGAATAAATAAATTAATTTCAATTTACCATTAGAAATCTCTTTTGCAATGTCACCTTCCTCAATAAGAGCCAATAAGAATATTTGCCTCATGTGAAGACAGGTGAATCAATAACTAAAAAGTCCTTACAACTGTGCCTGATATGTGATGTGACATTAAGTATTATAAAAGTGCCCTCTCTCGCTCTTTATAATTACAACTATTCCTATTTTATAGGTACAGAGATGTCACACCACTCTACCTAAGACACATAACTTAGCGGTAGGACCAGGATTCAAGGCCAGATCTGTCTCAAAAGCTCACAGTCTTAACCACTGCCATGAGGAGTCATACACCTGTCCTAGGAGGCTGGGGGCAGGCGGTGGGGATTTGGGGCAATCATTAGCAAATTAACAAGGACTAATTCCATTCAGTTGTTTTCCTCCTTAAAATCAACCAAGCTCAGCTGTACCCAGAAAACAGGAATTTTAACTGATGAGCAGGGCAAGTAGATTATTTGGGGACAAGATGGGGTGAGGAGCCATAGTGGGGTTTGAGTCTGAGGCTTGGAAACACCAGTGTTCATAGATGGAGGTGGTTTGGCAGGAGTCCAAGATGAACTCTGACCTAGGTAAAATGTCACCAAGATCTAAACCCACACTCAAAAAAGAGGAGGAAGATTCCTCTTTCTGCACACCTACTGTTGTTCCACTCACAGCTCCAGATAACAGGTTAGTATCCGGGGTAGGAGATGAGCTGGGTTAAATAAACACTTGTGGGTTTGTTGGAAATATAACATTTCCACTCCAAAGAAATGGTAACGCAAAGCAATGGTAACATTAGTTCCAAACTAACGACTTGTAATTCAGCACTGCGCCGGTATGCTCTGGGGCTCTGTGGACTGGCCACTGTGGTAAGTGCTGGGGACATCACAGTAAAGGAGGCAAGGTCCTTGCCCTTGAGCAGCCTGGAGCCTCCTGCATGCATCGCGTTCCAAATCTGGGGAGGGACAGGCTTGCCTTTTAGTACTGAATGAACTCATTTTTTAACAGGCTCTTCGCTAAGATTTTTTTTTTTCCTCGCAAGAACAGTAGCCATACCTGTATGTTTTTTCCAAAAGGTTGGTGAGAGGTAGCTGCAGGGGCTCTGAACTCCTACTGCTAGGGCTTCAACCTGGCTTTCATGTTCTAGTAATACGACCTTCACTTCTCCTAAGTCCGGTTCCTTATCTGTACAAGGGGCCAAGGAAAATGTGTGCTTTGTGGAGCTGGAGGATGGAGGAGTAAGCCCCTTGAGATCCGGCTGGAAGTAACTGGAAGGGAACCCCAGTGGGAATCTCTTCAGAGAGCTTCAAGCAGCAGAGCTGTGTTTGTGAGCGTTGGTTTTGAGAGATCCAAGACGAGCTTTTTTAAATTCAAATAGATTTATCTTCACATATGGGCAAATAGATTTTAGAGCCTGTCACATGCTAGATTTTATAGATCTACCTGAAAATGAATAAATGATATTAAACTAGAAAATCACTTAAAATTATTTAGTAAATAATAGGCAGGTGGGAAAGGGATGGGGGGGAAATGGCAGAGATCGGGACACGCAGCATGCCTTTCTTGCTGCAAAGAAATTCAAGACTTTGCTCTTTGGCTCTGGCGAAAGGCACCATCTTCTCATGCCTGAACGAAAGAGAAAGCGCATTGGAACAGCCCAGAGAATGCCTTCTGCAGACCCACGCTTTCCTGGCGCTGATTTCAGTTCTGGTGGAAAAAAATCCCCTGAAGCCGACGACAGCTGAGCTCCCGGCCTGGAATTCACATTCAGAAGAGGAAAATTACACCCTGAGGTCCTGAGGGCGCCTGATCAGCTTTGATGCACACAGAGGCCAGACAGCCACCCGCCACCTGTCCCACCCCACCCCATGAGCTGGGGGAGCTTTAGTGGGAGGGGATGTGAGTTCTG